TCCCAGCCTGTTCATGCAAAGCGAAACAGCAGCACAGGAATAAAAAGTAGCCAGAGTGCAGGAAAGCTGCAGGTGCTGAAATATAAACAGACGTGGGCGGAAAAGAAACAAGCATTGTGGCAGTGATGCTGATAACACCCAATGTGATGGGCACGTCAGCCTGTTTGGGCACATTAGCAGTTTCATAAATCTGCTTAAACAGACATCAGCCACAGGCTGTTGTGTTTAGTCCAAGGTGGCTGTGAAATGTGTTTTATGAGAGGAGACTAAAAGAGAGGAAATGGATATGTAAAGACTTGTCCTTCTCATTGCTCCCTCAGATCCTCTGTCCATGGGTCCTCAGAAGGCTCTGGAAACCATCGGTGCGAATTTGCAGAAGCAGTACGAGAACTGGCAGCCACGGGTAAGCTTTCTCGTTTGCGCTTCTTACGGGGAAAGTTGGATGCTTGGTTTTATAGTCTTTGGTTTGAAGCGGGAGTTCTCTGCAGGTGCTCACCTCAAGTGACCTGCTGCCCTGCGGTCCCCATGTGTTTGAGGCTCGCTGTGCCCTGCTGCCTGCCAGCACGTGCTTGGTTGTGAGGCAGGTGTTGGGTAGCCTGATTTATTTTGCCAAATCTTTAGAAAAGAAAAAATATTTGTCATGTTGCTCTTAAATCACGGTTTTTATTTTTGTAAGGAGATGTATTTGGTAACCCTTATGCATCCTCAACTAGTTAGAGCTATCCTTCCTGTCTTCAAAGAGTTGAGGGGAAAAAAACTCCACATTCAAAAGTTGACACCTATCATATGTTTTGTCTTTGATTCAAAAGGTTCTTTTCAGAGAGCCAATTACCAATTAGTGTGTCTTTTGTTGCTTATGTTGTACAGGTTTTTTTTTTTTTTTTAAAGAGATGTGGCATAGAATATAACTGTGTCAAATCACCCTTAAGATCCCAAGTTACTTGTAAAGCCCCAAAGCAACCATTTCCTTTGGCCTTTCTCATTAACTGGCTTAAAGATTTGAGAAATGTCATAGAACTTTAGAAATTGTGGCCATCCATGGAAGTTCCATTTTATTCAGCTCTGTGTGGTGGGCTCATGCTGGGACCATCTAAGGGAGTGTGAT